TGTCCCAAAGCTTAGAACATTCTAAAAAAGCTGAGTAATTTCAGTAGTTCACACCACCATGCAGTGCTGTTCTTGGCCATCTCAGAACCATTGCAGGCCCAGCTGCACCAAGCTCTTCTCTTGCATCTTTTTGGCTGTTTGTCATATAGTGTCAACTGAGACGGGGACCATCTCCTACTGCTGCTCTGGTGTATGGCATAGTGAGAGCCCACTTCCAAGCGAGACTCACAAACGCTGCAACAGAATCATCCAGGCACCTTCCGCAATCTGATTTAACCCAAGTCAGTGGTAAGAACATGCCAAAATACATTTTATCTTGGACCAAGTGCATCCAGTCAGAAAAGCACAAGTTGAATCCAGCCTCTAGGATCCATTTAAACTTGATGAAGCCTTAGGTGCCTGATGGAAAGGTAAAGTGCCAACTATGAAAACTGGTAGGAGGGCACAGGTGAAAGGCTGAGGTGCACAAGAATGAGGCAGACCCGCAAACAGCCCTGAAACCCGAGAGCCTAATGCCACTGGATGCAGAAAAGAAAGATTCCCAAGGAAGCCACAAGGGCAAAACGAGGGGGTAGAAGAGGAGGATTCCCTCCAAGGAGTCGAGCACAGGAACAAGGAGACCTCAGGAGAGCCCTGGCGCTCAGGGTCATGGGCTGGAACAGTGAATGCGCTCTCGCCGCCGCGGGTGCCCCAAGAGAATACTCGCACAGCAGCTTGGTGAGGCTGCGAGGCCAGATGCCCATAGTAAAAACAAGGAGGAGACTGTCCAGTAGAGTTTATTTGCATTAACACACTGCCAGGTGGTTTCCAAGAAAACTGAGACTAAATCTGCATTACCTTGCTCTCGATTTTGTGCTCATCTTTTTGCTTTACCACGCAACTACTGAACCCTTTTATTAGAGCATTCCGAAGACATTTCTACCCTGCTGCTTAACTTAGTCATGTCTTCTCAACTAGTGAAACAACTGGATTTGCATCTGACAAATGTTACCTTCTTAGGAAGGCCGCTAACTTCCCAGAGCTTTCTGGGATTTTTTAGATACACCCTGTCCTTACAAACAATCCAACAAGTGAACCAACAGCACCTTTATATGATTACTTAAAAAAAAACTAAGAACAGGTTTCCCAATTATTTTGCACAATAGCAAGTCCCCTCCATCTTCACTTCTGTTCCCTCAGTAAAGAAGAACCAGAATGATGAGCGCCGCACAGAGCAGAGCCAAAGCAATACAGCATGTTAATCCTTTGTGCAAATGCCTAAAGTCTAATGTCTTAGCCTAGGGCTCTTATGTTCCAATATACTTCTGAATAAACAAGTCCTGCAAAAGCAGCCCATTGGGGCTGACCTCTGTGCAGCGCGATGCAGGAAGCCAGGAAACATGAGCGACCTTATACCAACAGATAACTCAGGGTAAGGTGCTGCAGAAACCATGGGAAAACAGAATGGTGTTATGGAGAATTTCCTGCAGGTTAAATAAATCAGTTGCACACGACTTTAAAGAGCATTAGTTTATTATCTATTCTCCATGTGTTACTCAGAAACAGTCTAATTATATACAAAAATTTGGAATGTTGAGTAAATGCTGATCAATAAAAACATTTCATAGCTGTTGACAAGGGAATATTTCTAAACAAAAACAAAATCATAAAGGTTTATCTGTGTTGCTTATTGCTATGTTTGTGTTCATAGAATGCTTTCAAGTATATACACATTTTTAACTCCAGTCCAAAAAAGAAACTCAGAAAAATATTTACACAATAAATATGTGGGAGATTTCATCTTTTCACGGTATCAGTTGAACTGATTCTTTAATGAACTAGTAAGAATCGGAAGAATTAACAGAGATTTCACCAACTCATTGCCATGTTGAGTAACTTACGCTGCTGATGGATGTCATTCTATTCCAAATACAGGTTACGATGCTCTCAAAATGAAAATGCCGATATGGTTTCTCCTCCAGCACAGTCCTGGCTAGACTGATTGAGGAGACCTCTTCCTCCCACACTCTGCAGAATTGTCTAGATTGACATTTATTGATTTAACCTTTACACATGACACTGCAGGAACACACACATTTCAACCCATTACAAACTCCAAGGTTTCGTGAGCAAAATCAGCATAATCAATGTTTTATTTGATGGTTAATTTGCTAATTTAGTGAAGACAAACTTTGGCCAAGTATTTTCACCAGAAGTGCTAAACTCCTTGCTGCAAATCTCTCCTTCTACACTTCTATCATAGCCAAACAGTTTTTGGTAGCATCTTCCTGTGATACACAACTCTGCAAACTAAGTGACACAATATAGTTTACAACTTCTGTTAACATTAAAGCAAAGTAGAATACAGTGTAATTCCTCAGGGAGATTTTTAAAACCTACTGCAAAATTTATCTAAAGTCCACCCAAGATCAGTAAAGAATCAGTTCTGCCTTTCCAACTTTTCCCTTCTCCAAGACACAGGTTATGAATAAGAGCAAGTTAATTCAGGACTTGTCTGAATGCATTCCCTTTACAAGGCAGTGTGTGGTTAAAAATAACACGATCAGAAGTAATGAAAATGTGATGTGATCATTTTGCATTTTCAATAAAAAAATATAAACTAAAGACATCTTAGAAGGGGAATACTGAAGCCTGCCATTATTTAGCTATGTTTGTCATTCTTTTCTTTAGAGATTAACAGCACACAGAAAATAAGTGAATTTTATCAAAATACAGCACATTTCTGCTAATATATCAAAAAATCATTTCCTATGTAAATATTACTGAAGATCAACTAAAAAGAATTAAAATATACAAAGAGTTGTTAAAGGGTTTCAATTAAAATTAGGACTATACACAGTACAATAAGCAATAGTTAACATCTTTGAAAGAAGTGCAATAATATTGGAGTTCACTTACTTAAAAAGTACTGCCTGGTTCTTTGTCACTAGCTATGGAGAATTCCTTTCTCTTCCAGCTCATTTTCCCCACACTAAAGGAGGCTGGTGTTTTTTGCTAGCTTTATTAAAAGCATTTATTTTTGTACACGTGTGTTGAAAAAAAGCAACTTTACCTAAATTTTGAGCTACCAACTTATTTGTAATAAAAAAAGAACTGCAATAACTAAATATTGCTCCAATGACAGGCTAATCATTAGCCCTGATTAAAAACAGTTATTGGTCTTCTATGGCACTTTTTCCTGGTCCATAACAACCGTGTATTAATTATCACTGCAGATCATGCAGTCTCTATTCAATTACAAAGGAGAAAGAGAAAGAGGAAAAATCAAGTTAATGTTTCTGGTAAACAAAATTAATAAAAGCATAATTGGATATTTTACACAGTAATAAGGAACGAAGGCAGCCTGTGGTAAATCACTATTATATTAATACAGTTAGAAACCCTTTAATGACTCTGAAGTGTCGAGTTCACATTTCAAGTTACCTGTAGGAAGAGCCCTTGGAAGAGGCCTCGTTGCAGCCGGGGGTCGCGGAGCCGCCCGCCCTCGCGCTGCCCGGCCCCGCGCCGCGTTTCGCTTTGCTCACCCGGCTCCTCCCAGGCGCACAAGCCCATGCAAAGGCCAAGCAAAGCCAGCAGCTTCATAACCCTCCTTGCCTCATTCACTTGGTGTTTTCAGGTGTATGTTACAGGCAACAATCTTAAAAACTGGCCATTTCAGTTTCATTTTAAAAGTCTGTAAGATTGAAATGGAGTACTTTTTATAAAGATAAAAGCATCACCATTTGCACACAATCGGGGATTTCCACAGCAGAGAAAAACCTCTGGGCACATTTCCACAGTTCAGTTGAAAAATCATGTATGCAAAAAACCCCCCCCAAAAACAAAAAAACCCACCCAAACTTAATTGCATGTGGCAAATGAATATTCAATGACTACCTTTAGAACAAATCCTGTAGATGATCACAAATTTGTAATTATAGTCTTCCTAAAAACACCATAAGCTGTTATTGCATTTTCTACTGGTAGACGTACACGCCAGAACTACACCATTTCTCATCGCTCTTGACTCCAGATTTAGATAGCAAATAGTTGTTTCACCCGGCCTTTCTTCTGTCCAACCAGCACCACCTTCCATCTACCCGTTCATCTGGACAACATGCACATAGCAAAGCCAACGTTTCATATCTCCTGCCCACATCTACACAAGTGGTTTTGCTAACACATTAATATCTGGTGAATAAAAAGAAAGGCAATAAAGAGCTACAGGACAGACAGCCCTGCCATCTGTCCATGGGCTACAACCTCAGACTTCTCAAAGCCTTGCACAAAGTTTAGTAATGTGTATGAATTATCCAAAAATAAACCTACTATCTGTACAAAAAAACAACACAGGTTTGTTCTTGGAGGAGTGATCCTTAGATTGCTATAATGCTTAAAAACAAGTTTATTCACCATATGCATTTCCAAAATGATTTCCTGTATGTTCTATACAGTGGTTTTTCCCCCTTTAACCACAAGTTCAATATTTCATCTCCTGTACAAATTTTGATCATAGTTCAAGTCCCTTTCATATATAAAAATAGTCAAAATATTCAATTCCCCATAAGTCTCCGATGAACCTTGTTGGCTTTTTCCCCATATCCACAGTATTTATGAAGAAACCTCTCGCACAATGATGAGCTCCACTGCATTCTGAAAAGTCTTTAGCAAAGATACTGCTTGTCCGTGATCAATATTGATGAAGCTGTAGCCATTAGCCTAAAAAGAATTTAAAGTAGCAGTTTCAATATTTTATGGTAGTTTACTGAAGCTTAAACTATGATTAAAGTAGCTTGTAGTTAATGTAGGCAATAAAATCCTGCAGATTTGCAGGATTTGTGATGTTATTGGTAAGTAGACAGTAGTAGCTTTTCTAAAGTAGGTGAGTGTTATTACTGACGAAGTAGTATTGATTATACAAAAAGTGAGACTATTCTGTTAACCCTGGAACAAATTTACCCCAAAGACACTAAATACTTGTGCAAGTAACTTCTGTCTAATTCCTGTTACTGTGGGGAGGTCTGGAAGTTTCTCCTCTCTGGAAGGCTACTCCAGTAAGACAACTAGAACCTGGAGCTGCCTTTCTCGTTCCACCAATGGGAAAGAACAAACATACAGAGTTATTTATTTTAATTATCCTGAAATATGCAGTATTTTAGTTGGAAAAACTTGATCTTAGTTTATTTTCTTGGCATACTAGCTGACTGATTCTTGTTGCAGGGATTATGCTCTGTTTTCAGTCTGCTTTTGTTTTAAAACTGTTCATGCCAGGTTGCTATTTGAGATATTAATGATTTTTGAGAGAAGCTGAAATGCAGCAAGTCCAACTCTTTAAACATTCTCTGACTGGGAATGTGGTAAACAATTTTATCAAAAGCTCTCCAAGACCCCAGCTCCAAGGGTGGCTACAGCACTAGTGCATGTCCTGCTGCTCTTGCTTCCACAGGACTGATGAATGCTTCAGGCTTGAGCACCTATCCTGATGTTACTGGGAAAGAAACTGAAAGCATCATCACAGCATACGGAACTGCTCGCGGAAAAGATATCGGCCATCTATGGAAAACTTAAGCATTCTGCTCTTGGGGAAAAAAAGGCAAACCAAGAAGTTGACAGTACCTGAATTATTTTATCTCCAGGCTGCAATAGCTTAGATGCTGGTCCTTCGGGTTGCACTCTTGTTACAAATATACCCTTGAAAAACAAGTAGAAAACATTCTGACAATTTACTTCACAAATAGTATGTTTAGCATGAAACTGGTAATTCAAAGCATTATTTCTATTTTCAATTTCAAGTAGAAGAACATGTAGTAGTATTTTACAGATCTGCTTGCTTTTGTGACTGCATGTGTTTGAGATTAAGTCCGGAAGGTTGTAGGCTAAATCATACTTTCTTTCAGAGACTTCCTAATTATAAATCCCTTAATTCACTTATCTTGAATCTGTTGCCTGGTATTTGTAAGACTATATATATAAAAAAAAAGCCACAGACACAGTCATCGTCTGGACTGTCACATGACTGCAGTGCTCACCTACCTTCCTGGTTTTCTGTAGTTACATATCCTGACCTCTCTCTCCTACCAGTTCCTGGAGATGGGTTTTTGTTGTGCTTTAAAACACTGAAAGCATTTGCTGATCAGTATGATTTTAAAAAGATGCATTAGTATAAAATACTCACGTCATCTTCAGGTCTGAATGGATTTCCTCTGCCGCCAACTCCTCCCGATATACTAAATCCAAGCTCAGGATCCTTCTCAATTCTCACTCGAATCTGAATGTTACAACCAAAGTTAGAAACACTGGCTGAAAACTTGCACCTGAAACTGATGTAGCTATTAGTAATTCAGATGAAGAAAAACTTTTTAAAAGAAAATTATGCCAAACTTGTTCTCTTTCCTTGTTCCTTCCAGATGAATTTTATCAAATCTGGCCCCTGTTTCACAGGAGTCCCACATAGCTAATGTCCCCCTCCGCTCCTGCCAGAAGAGTGGGCTATGACTTATTTTGCACAAAACTTGGAGACTCTCATTCTATTACACAATGAAAACAAAGAGCTCAAAATTTTGTACAGATAAAAATATAGCAGAGGAAATAGCCCATCTCTAAGAATGGAAAGAATGGTGCACACAGTGAAACTGAGAATTTTCAGGTACGCACGAGGCATTTTCAGTCCTGGCTTTTGTCTAGAGTTGCACACTACTGTGTTCGCCGGTTACTGAGTCATTCTGGATAGCACTGAATAGATGTAAAATACTCTGAACTGTATTGCTACTTTGCATTTTTTTTCCATTTATTACATAAACAGAGTTGATTATCAATAAATGTAGTGGAGAAGCACTTTCTATCTCAAAAAAGATGTGGATGCGAAGCTTTCTGGTACTGAGGAAAAGAACACACCCCATTTACGTCTCTCACAGCGTGCACGTGAACTGGAGAAGAGCTCCAAACCAGAAGGAATGCAATTCCAACAACAGAACTGGACTGAGGTAGAACTGTCTGCTGCCGGAGTTCAGTTCCTAAACAAATTCAGTCACTGTCTGCAGAGCAGCAGTAACGAACAAAACCCAAAGGAATCGTTCGCTGCTACTGACAGCCAGAAGTCCTGCATTCAGGTTGCCTGTTACCTTACCTCTTGCTTGACCAATTCATGGCTCTGTCTGGGAGAACACTGGGATGGTACATAGGGAGGCTGGTGAGCAACCTTTAACATCAGATAATCAATCAGCTGCTCTCTAGATGGATGTCTTGCTACTGACGCTTGAGGAGGGAGGTGATGGACTTGGCTGTAGTTGGCCTGTGGTCTTTGAGGCTGGCACATTTGTCCATTTGTCAAAGGTACCTGAATAAAACATGAATACTCTTAAACCACATTTTATGAGCAGCAAGCCTCAATTCTTCCCTAATTATTTCAATACTTCTCATGCTCAACTGCTTTTAATTTTAGGAGCATTGCTAAAATTACTGTTCTGGAGCATGTTCCATTGTACTCAATATTCATTACAGTCATGAGCTGTGACCTCCCAAGGCACATCTGAAAGATCTGAGCACTCATCTGCTAGAACAGACTAGACTGCTCTTAGCATAAGTTAAATTGAGTTATCTCTATTTTTTTTTTCCTGGCAGTACAGCTGACAGCATTGCTACTGAATTGATGTAATTATATATTTCACTTTTAGTGCGTGATTTTTCAGAAGTTTTTGCAACAATTTCAGTAGATTATATGTAACTGAAATCCCACACAGCTAATGAACAAAAATTATATGGTCATGGAGCATCTTTGGGTGATCACAAGAAAACTTTCTCAGTAAATGCATAAAGAATTTTAAGATTTTAATGTCAAAATCGTAATAAGGATATTTCCAAGATATGTTGTTATTTTGTTAGGATTTGCTACACTGACAGCAAACAGAATTCACAACTGTAAAGACATCCAGGGCATTCAAATGATACTGCTAAGAACACATTAAAAAAATCTAATGCTGCACCATAACAAATTACAAACAGCTATTTATTTTTACAGTAGCAAGTCCTTGCTGTGTGGGTGGTCCTTAAAAATCCATACAAAATGCCATCCTTACCAAGTGTAGCTTATCACGAGAATTTCATCACAATGAATTTAAAGGTTTTTTTAAAAAAGGTTTCATTACTTTTGATTTGCTTTCCTAAAATCATTTGATATATACCCATTTCCATTCACAGCAATGTTTCATGCTGTAAATTTCCTCTTTCAAAGCCCTGCTGAGGAAAACCACCCACATATCTTGTTAACAACTTTGTTCTGCAGAAAGAGAAAGTGCTGTTTCCGTTATGCCACCTTAACTATTGGCTGAAAGGGTCAAATCCAGTTTTGTATTCTAACAAGCCCTGGTTCCAGCTGCTGTCCGTTTCTGTCCATGGGCAGCAGTGCGGAGCTCCTACCTGCACAGCTACTTTCTTCATGCTGTCCGGGTGAAGATCTTTGAGGCTGAGGGTGGCAGACGAGTAATTCTGCTGTCCCGAGAGGAACACCTCATCTGGGCAGTGCTCTCCTGGAGCACAAGCCTGGGGATGCTGTAAACGAAACGAACAAGTAAAGAACGTCTTCATAATGTCAAACAACTAAAAAAAAACTTTTTTTTTTTAAAGGCAACAATAAAAACATTCTAAGGACTTCATTGTTCTTTTTTTACATGAAAGATCGGATCAGAAATGCAGAAAATGTAAATCTCGCCAGCCAAGACCTGGCACCCATGAAATGCTGCTGGACATTTACATAAATTTTCAACTGAAAAGGCCCTAACACATGGTTAAGAAAGCTAGTAGATGTTAAAGACTTCTGTTAACCCTGTGGATCCTTGAATGGGAAGTCTTCCGTTGACATTTATGCTGCTTGCTATGGATACTGTAACATCACTCAGGATACTTCAGATTAAAGAGTTATTTCCTAATATTTTCTTATGAATCAAAGTATTTAATTGAATGCCCAAAATATCTTACAATATAGATTACACCATCAGAAGTTGATTATCATGGGGAAAAAAATGTAACATTTTTGTTCAAACCTGTATCAACGTAGGTTAAATTCAGAGTCATACTCTTTTTTTTTCCCCACAATATGCAGGAGGACATAACCACACTGTTTTTTATACGTTTAATCATACATGAAAGCCAATTAGCAAACTATTTTGTGGCATTGAACTGAAGAGCCTCGCAGCAAGGTAAGGCAGTTAGAGCACGTGGTGCCTGTGGAGAATGTCCATCACAGTTTGGCCCCCAGGAGACGGGGTCTGCGCGCGAGGGGCATCGCGGTGCCCGGCCCGCGCGGCCGCAGCCCCGGCGGGTACTCACTCGAGCAATGTGCACAGCAGCAGCTCTTCCGTCCACAACACTACCCTGGCTGCCATGCAGATCCCTAGAGCTGCCAGGGGCAAAGCTGCTAGCCGCAGCCAAAGTGGAATTAAAGGACCTAGACAGCATGCTCTGAATAAAGAGGGGACAGATTTAACAGAGATTAGTGCAGCATGCATAAACCACGAGACGTGTTATACAGACACTGATACACACATATCCCATTGTCATGCAAGATAAACACCATGCAAACATGGAAGAGTGCCCCTGTCAGGGGGAAAGCAACCCAGTGACCCTCAGGTACCTCTATTTACTGTAAATTGGCATGTGATCAGCAGCTTTATTACCTGTAACTGTATGTAAGCCATTTGCACGTATGTGTGTCTTGAACAAACAACATAGGTGCGTGGCTTATCCAAATTTCTAAGTTTTCACTGAATTTCCAACATATCAGAGCTTTTGGCAGAAGCTGACGGTCAAGATACACATCTGTGGAAAATTCTTCCATTATCTTTTACCATTTTGCCTCATTTTTCCCTATTACTGTTTGTACAGTACAAATAAAAAAACTGAGTCAGGAATTTGGGGCATTAACTAGATTGTATTAAAAAAAAAAAAAAAAAAAGACAATGTCGGCAGTATGTACCACGCATTTCAGCAACACCCCATTCAAGAAAGTGTCAGCAGGTGTCATTGAAACAGAGGCTTTAGGGAACCTCGGAGGCCGCTCCTGTGACTGCAGGCACCAAAACGGTGCCTAAGCTTGAGAACGGATGTGGCACTCGCGTGGTTTAGAGCTCCTGCATTCTGCATACTGGTGAGGATGCTAGAAGGGGGAGCAGGAAGCACACTGCTATCTTGGCCACCATCTATTTTGTAATGGTAAGGAAAAGCAAAAGAAAAAGACAGGACAGGAGTACAGGAAAACCCTCTATGTCCCATGAGACAGGAAGGAGCCCTGAGAACAGTGACAAGACCACAGTGACAGGGGTATATTGATATTGAAAGATACACAACAGAGCATCAAAACCCAGCAAGTCCAGAGTGTTTTGTTTTTATAAATTTCAAGTAAAGAAAAAATCAAAACATTTGACCAAGGTATCTCAACAACTCTTACATGAAGAAATGCGTATTTGAGATGGAGTTTGGCAGTTAACGCCATATACAATTCTCATTTCTAAAGCCCTCACTAGTCACCTGGCAGACGTCTGCTGTCTCAAACTAGCTTTATCTCGTGAAATCAGAACAACCAGTTTACCAAGAAAGTTAATAAATGACCTCTGCCTGTCCACAGCTCGCAGGCGCCCTGGTTAGCAGCCACTGAAAAGCCCCTCAAACAACAGCCTCTTCCAGGCCCTGGCAGCGCCTGCTCCTCCCCGAGCGAGAGGCTTCCTCCTGCCCTCGGATGAGCCCGTGCAGGTCAGCAAGTTCCCAAGCCTCAAGGTGGGTTCCTAGCAGTTTTTCCCCTCACGGCAGAGGGGGATGGAAAAGTTGTCCGCAGGCCCTTTCTAGGGACGGCTTGTTGCAGATTACTACACTGTTACAGATAGTTAGGGTCCGGCGGCCGGAAGATATCGCGCTGTACGGAAAGGTAGAGCCCCTAATAGCCAATAGTGTTAGTTTATGATGTAAGCAGACGGATGTGACGTTGTAAACCTTAGCTATATAACACCTTGCTGCCCCTCAATAAACGCCATTTGCCGTCTACCACACTGGTGTCAGCGTGCTGATGGCCCGAGCGGCCTGGGGGTGGTCGCCGTGCCGTTCCTGAACCAGGTCGCCACGCCGCTTGAACGGCAACACGGCTCAGTCTGCATTTTGGTACAACACACCCAAGTGAAACTGCTGAAGCCCCTTCTCCTCCTCGCCGCTTCTCAGTGCCCTGTAGCACTAGCCCATTGCCCACTTCCTTTCCACTCTCACAAGCAGCTCCCTGCAGTCTTCGTACAGCAGCCTCTTCTCTGGGCCTCCCAGAGCTCCAAATCTTCCATTCAAACAGACGAAAATATAAGCAGTGTATGGTAAGGCTAAAAGCCGATCTCTGAAAGTCTCTGCAGAAGCCCATTCTACTAGAAAGACCCCTAGAATCCCAGGAGATCCCCTCTGATATAGGGAGGCCCGAGGGAAGTCCACACCTAACAGGAGCTCACTTCATCAGACCAAGATGAGAAAACCAAGCCCGATGCGTTCAGTCCTCAGCTTAACTCCTCAGCACAAGGGAGCCCGAGCATCCCACACAGCAAACGCCCTCCCTTCTGCATCGAGTTTGACCTCAAACAGGACAGTTTGTTACAGTTTGCAGGCACACCAACAGATCCGCCAGGGACCACGTTTCACTTAGCTCTGAGAGCTTCAAGGCGCTCTCACTGACTTTACCTTGCGCGCTCGCCTGGGAGCAGCTTTATTTCAGGGCTTATAAAATCTCCCGCTTTGGCAGAAACTCTTTTTTCCCAGATATGAGGCACGGTGTGTACAAAAGCAGAGTAGACATGAAAGACACCAAAACCCCCATTTCTACCTCCTCTGTGCGGGTCTCAGTGTGGGCTTTTCCACATTGGAAGTACCCCTCACAAGCATGAAAGGCGCAAAACATATCCTGCTAGAAATTACAGAAACCAAAGCTCCTCCCAGCTTCAACACAAGAAGATGTTTCTAGTGATGAATCTAGAAATACTCCTCCTTTACCCATCAAAAAATGATGAAAGGCAGCAACTGAGATGTTTTAACATAGACGGTATCCACTGTGCATCTCTTCATGGGCACAGCGAAGGCCGGACATTTTAAAGGAGTTTTCTGGAGATTGTCGCATCAGAGAAGTCACTTGCAGAAATGTGAATGTGCAGAATAAACAGGGTTTTTTAATACTCCAATTTACAAATTTACTCCAATTTACAAATTTACTCCAATTAATAAAAATTAAGTGCATCTTATAAACTTCCATTTAAATATCATAGAATCATAGAATGCTTAAGGTTGGAAGGGACCTCTAGAGGTCACCTAGTCCAACCCCCCTGCACACGCAGGGTCACCTAGAGCACGTGGCACAGGACTGCGTCCAAGCGGGTTTGAAGATCACCAGAGAAGGAGACTCCACAACCTCTCTGGGCAGCCTGTTCCAGTGCTCTGTCACCCTCATGGTTAAGAAATTTTTCCTTAAGTTCCTGTGGAACTTTTGGTGCTTCAGTTTGTGGCCATTACCTCTAGTTCTGTCGGTGGCCACCACTGAAGAGAGGCCAGCACCATCCTCCTCACTGCCTCCCTTGAGGTACTTATAGACACTGCTCAGGTCCCCTCTCAGCCTTCTCTTCTCCAGCTGAACAGACGCAGCTCCCTCAGCCTCTCCTCATAGGGCAGGAGTAATTCTAAACATCAGCCCGCTTGCTACAGAGCCTCTGAGTGTTATGGTCTGCAAAACAGTAATTCTATAAATGCAGATATTCAAGGCTTGAAATTCACTTCTAAACTAACAGAGACTAATCAATACACATGCAGTGTTCCCGTACACTTCTTGTCAAAATCGTATGTTTGCTAGAAATCAGTTACTCTTAGGGCTGAAAAAATGTGGTTGAAAAGCTTTAGTATACCACAAAAAAATGTCTTTTTACAAAGAGCAAAGTGTTCTACCCACAGATCAGGACTCAGTCAAAAGAACAGCCTCTCATGGCATCAGTTTAGACACTGGCAGTTAGTGACAGAATTTGGGGGCTTATTTGCACTCTTTGAACGCCAGCAGTCAGGGGATATTCTGTATTTTTAAGCTTATGACAGAATTAACGGAGTCCAAAGAGGTGACTCCAGCTCAGGTACCAAAAGGCCAACCTTGACTTTGGAGAGCGCTCGCTAAGCGCTCAGTGAGAGGCTTCATCTCCCCGTCCATAAACCTGCTATGTCTGCGTAGGAGCAGAGAAGAGACAGCAGCCTTCACCGAGGACAAGCCCCACCGGTCAACATTGCAGCAGCTCTTAATTAACCATCTTACTTGGTTCAAGCCTCCTCATTTTGCAGTAGTTCTGTTAAATAAAAACAGATCTCTCTCAAGATACAGTTGAGACAGTTACTGGGTTAAGACTGCAACCACATGGCTTTTGCCTTTTCCCCTCATTTTTCTATATTCTCCACAGTTCTGCAGCTGGCCCCTTTACTGCAAATTCTTTCTGGCCCATTGGGTGCTTGCACAACCAAACACACAAAACAGAGTTTATCCTGAACCCTCAAGTGCCACTGACACTAGTTGAAACTAGCTGTAAGTGCACAACAATTTATGCTCTAGTGTACGCTTAATTTTGTATGAATTTGAGGCCTGAATAGAAATTAGTTTTATGACATCATCTCTGGTAGCTCTTTCTTTAATAGAAAGGGAGACTTCGGGCAGCAAGGTATGTGCCTGTTGGGAAACCAATTGTTGCTTTTATTCTATTAGTTTGACAGAAATTTTTACTAAGCACATAAAAGCAGGCTTAAGTGGTTTTTTTTTTCTCTCTCTCTCAATTCAGAAGATATTACCCAATGCGAAGGCCAAATATGAAGGAGATAATTTACAAAATGCTAGCAGATTGTTTTGAAAAGAGCTCCTTCAGCAGTCCTCTAGCAGCGGGAGTACATGAGAAGTAGAGCACTTGATTCCAAGTGGAACTGGAAGGGAGGGCAAGCAGTGCCCAAGGAACGCCCAAGACATCCGCAACAACAAGAACAAAAGGAAAGATTCACATGTAAGGAAAGGACAGAGTCAGGGCCAACAACTACTTCTGCTGACTTGGCACGGGCAAACACGGTGGATATTTGCAGGCAGCTCTGCTGAGGGTCTCTCTTGTGGCAGCGTACGGATGCAAACTCCTCTACAGCACAAGAAAGCAGGTGCCATCCCAACGCTTTAGCTGGGCTTGGATACGTCCATCCCCTACCGCCTTCAGGACGACACCACCGTGGCCAACTGCACACTGAGCATAAACGTTCACACACCTCGGGAGAAAAGCTAATGAAAAACTTGACTGTTCTTAAAAAGCTCCCCTATACTCTACGATTAAAGAGGCTGGAACTGCCTGCACGCTTTCCGACAGCTTGCATATATGACCACTAGGGAGCAGCTTGGCATCCAAAGAAACCCTTTTCTCTATCACACAATAAAATATGCTTTGCAACAGATAAGTAAGTTGCTTCCCCTGCATATTTGCAAAACTTCAATTCACAAATGATCTCATGCACCATTTTCACTTTTCCTCCACCAAACGAATGGTTTTAGTTCACTGAAGCAAGTCCCTTTGCATCCTGCCAAATGGATTACAAATACCAGTTACTTGGCTGGACTCCATTGTGAATCATTTCTGCTGGACATCAAGCTTTCCCATTTCTCTTTTTGAGCAAATTTAGTTCCTCAAAAGCTTTTCCACCTGCATCAGGCAAAAAGTTCTAATAAATGAAACGCAAACCAGCTTCTCCAGCATTGACTGACAAGCAGTCTTGATTGATATGGGTTCTTCCCTCCCCAGTCACCAGATTTTATAAAACAAAAACTAGAACTCCAGGGGCATCACTTAAAAAAAAATGTGTGTGTATACATTATATACATTATATATGCTAAAAAACATAGGATAGAAATACATGTGATTAATTCAGTAACAGACAAATTTAAGTGCCACAGCAGAAGTAAATACTATCAACCTACACTGCTGTACACAGCTACAAGCAGGATATGAATTAATCATGCAGCACAAAGCCTAATTTTGTATCCCTGCTTTTGCCAAGACTATGACTTACGAGTTAAAAAATAAATGGTATTTTATACCTATGGTAGATTTTTGATAAAGTAATTTCCTTGCTTTTTAAGTAAATATTCCAAGTTCTTTCAGGCTTCAAACACATTTGAAGTTTAGTGTACAGAGTAAGCCCCTACCACACACAAAAAAGCTATTTTTTCAAATACAAGTAGAAACATCTGAAGATGTTTCTTTAAGAGAAGAAATAAATATCCAATGAATTCCTAGGATTTCCACGTTATCATATTTGCCAGCTGCCATACAGAATGATATCTGCACTTCCTCACATCTCAGATTGCAGTAGTCATAGCCACAGAATATAAAATAGACACTCAGGACATAATAGCTTTTTCTCCTATAAACAAGCCTCAGATTGTTAACTAAAAGCTACCCTGAATCTAAATACTTTGAGGTCAGAAAACAAAATAAAAATCAAACAAACAAAAAAACACCTCCTAAGTGATTGAGATGTAGACAGAAAGATAAACAGATGCAGGAAGATAAAGCTGTATTAAATCGGATTCACAGCTAGGAAACTCATAGCAACTACACCATACCACTCGAGAAAAGAACAAAAATTAAGTTTTACATAAAAATGTGAAAGATATAAAGGGAATCAAACTGAAGGGAATCAAGCTTAATTTCAAGGTGGCAACACTGCTATAGGATCTACAGTAGCTGCAGATTTCAGTAACTTTTTTAACATGTCAAACGCAGGTGACAGGAGAATAAACGAATGACAACAGCAGTGCATGGAAGTTTTGTCTCAAGGACTTCCAGGACTGCTGAGATTTTTGTGGTTTTTTTTTTTCTGTTGTAAAAATTATAAAAAACAGTATATACATATAGTGAGAGAGATATGTATGTGTGTGTGTATATATATATTTATATACACACACACAGGCATATATTTCAAATGAGCAACACTGCCCTGCATTAGTGATGCTATTTTAAACTGATTTAGCTAGATAGCACAAAAGATTAGAGTCTTCTAGTTGCTGCTTAAATCCTTTGAAGATACATAATTGTCGAATTCTACAAATCGGCTCTAATTCCTGCTAGTGTTCAAAGCACATAAAGAATCCTGTTCATCAAATAGAGCTGTATCAAAACCTCCTGTGATTTCCTGGAAGGACAAGGTTTTTAAGTGTTCTCATCTCACAGCAATAACTATTCATTCAGCAATCTGTCAGACATAGAACGTCAAAAGACAAGTGGCTCGAAGGACAATATATGTTAATTACATTTCTTTGCATTCTTCAGCAACGCATGCTGTAAACCCATGCTTCTACTTAGATTATACTCAATTTATTTTCCTTAAAGTGAAGGAACAGAAAAAAGGCAGAAAAAAACAAGATGTAGAAGGGATTATTTTAGCGCAGCATGAATACAATTCTGCTGTAAAAGCAGCAACATTTATCTGGTCTAAAAGAAGTGGTGTTTAATTTATTCCAAGGTAAGTGGGCTAAGCTGGCAAATACAATGTGAAAACAACTTTCTCTTTGGGGTAAAAGCGCATTTAAAGTGTGCCATTTGACCACTTTCCGGATATGCAGTACAAACTTTTATTTATCTTTCTTAAGGCAATACCCAAAGTGTATTTCTACTGGTCACTAAAAGCAATTCAAAACAGGGATTATATAACTTCTTTCACAACCACATGACAAAGTTGGGAAAAAGAAAAAGATGATTTTTTTTTTTTTTTTTTACCTTTTCTAGTTTCTTAGCCTCGATGTGTCGCAACACCTGTTCCCTCCAGTCGTGAGGGACTTTGCTCTTTCCTGGAGGGTCTAGTAAAGAATGCTCAGAGTTAACCCTCGGATTGGATCTCTTTGACGGACTAGTCCGTGAGTAATTAAAGTCACTAACTGACATAGTTCTTTCTGGTATTTCATTCACGGAGGGTCGAGCACTCTGAGGTCGGGGTAGGTTTGGACCATCAATGCTGTATGTCCTGGCAGAAAGAGGTCTCTGATGCCCAGACATGACGGGTGCAGCTCTTCCCACTGAATGCAAATCCCTGTAGGTTAAGTAGTCCCCTTCC